CAAGAAGCAAATTTATCAAGAAAATTTGGCAGCACAATTGGCAGGTTCACATATCTGTGCTGCCAATCAAGAGAATCTCAAAGCGAAGAATATAAAGACTCTAATCATAAGTGGTGCATGCATTTCGACTGTAAGGGCAGAATTTCTGTATGGGTTGATATAGTTTTTGGTATTGCAAAAGTAAATATTCATCTTGATTCTCTTTACCAATGCCCAGATTATTGCGCTGAGATGACAGATGAACTACGGGAAGAAATTAGAAAGCTTGCACATCTTATCACAGCTCAATTGACAAACTATCTACAATATCAAGAGGTCAACATTTCAAAATATTTATGCAAGCACATATATTACTGGAAGACTATAGCAAATCAAAGCTTATACCAATGCCATAACAACCAAGCAGAATCTACATACAGGCTACTTGACAAGCATAGAAATCAAGATTTCTACAAATATCTGGACTTACAAGACCCAGAATCTACAGCCATCACATTTATAACTCTACTGCTTAAAGATATAAATAATCTCAATATTCATATTACTGAGATTTATATTGATGCCACATATAAAACTGCACGTGGCTATTATAAACTTTATAGTATTGTTGCTGATGTTAATGGTGCCGGTTATCCAATCACTTATCTAATAATAGATACGACAAAAGCAATAGATACAAACCCCAGTACAGGAAAATATTGTATTATATTAGAAGACTTCCTAGCTGCTCTTAAGGTAAATCGTAATAGAAGATTCTAAAAAATAAAATAAAAATTGATTAAAAAAAATTTAAAAACAAAAAAAAAAAAAAAGTTCTGTATAGTAAATCACTATATTTTCTTAAGAATTTATAAAAATTTTGAGTTTGCTATATCTAAAGCTTATTATATCCAAAGTTCGTTATATTCTGAGTCGAGTGTAATAAAAAAATAAAAAATTTTTTTTTAGCTTAAAAACATAATTAAATTAAATGATTTAATAATTTGTATAGTCGCATAATATAAATCTACAATTCGTCTTTACAGATAAAAACTTTGCAGAAATAAGTATAGCATCTAATGTGTAGGGTAGTTCTGTAGTTCAACTCTGTGCCTGGCATATGAAACGGGCTGTGAAATGCAAACTTGATGAGAAAGCGAAATTATCAAGTAATTCTAGGTTAATAACTGTGAGTTTTAATACTCATCAAGTAGCCAGTGAATATAATTTTATCGATTCTACTTTTTACCCAACAGAAGAGGATCTAATTCAAAATCATATGTTATTTGCCCATCTGAATTTTGATAAAAGATTTTAGAGCTGATGTAGAAGCACTTTGATATGCACCCATTAATTCCTATAGATGCTCAAGAGAATACAATAGAACTAGAAGCTATTAAAAAAGTGCTATAGAGGAGATGTATAGGTTTTGTGTTAAGCATGAGTTACAGTTAGTTTTTAAAGATCTTTTTTTTTTTTTAAAAAAAAAAAAAAATTTTTTTGAATACTTTATTTTTTTTTTAGATTACTTTTGTCTTATCTTTGAACTAATTGGTATTCATCGTGACGATGGTATCTTTGGGCATGGTTAGCCAAACTAGTGATACTATATGGAAAGACTACGATGAAGATAGAAGTGCATTAGAGTGTTATTAAGCAATATTATTTACAACGTTTCAATCAACCTAGGCTAGATCTTCTACTATGGATGCTTCTCAAGGAAGTGGTGCTAGCAAAGATGGAATGGTTTTCACAAATTTAGGCTGATATTATAGAACCGCACTAGTGAGTTGACTTTAAAAGAGAGTGAATCTATGTGGGTGCAAATGAAGAAGAACGAGCAAAAATACATAGTAAAAAAAAAAAGAGAAGTATTGATATAAATAATTCAAGTGGTCCATACTTTACTGAAGTTTCTTAGTGGGTTTGCAGCTACCCTGCTTTTTTCAGAAATCACTTTTTGTTATGTAAGTATTTGGTAAAGCAGACTGTAAATACACCCAATAGAAAAAGATGACATTTACTTAGGTGTGGGTTCGAGTATCGCACTACACCACCATTCCTCATTCTAAAAGATCTTGACAGTGATGATAACACATCATCAGAGGCTCAAGTTGTTCAAGTTGCTGAAAACTATGACGTTGATAGTTTTCCTGACAGTTATGATATTAAAGCAGGTGAAGATCCAGATGAAGAGGCTCGTACTTATATAGAATCGAATTAGAAACTATTTAAACAGGCTTATAAAAAGATTTGCTTAGAAAAAGATGCTAATAATTGGTAGCACATTGGTGCTATGATGAAATGGAGCAGATTAATAATAATGGAAAAAGATATTCAAAGTGCAGAACGGTGAAGAAAACGTTAAGCAACCTGGGCACCAGAAAATAGTAAAAAACCATACCTTATATATTTATCGTGCCCCAAAGAATCAAGATCTCTGGAGGATGTGGTAGTTGATGTAGATAATAAATAATATATTAATATATTTCAAAAATAATAAAAAAATAATATAATCTAAAAAATAATAGATTATTCTTGTATACTTTATTTATAAAATCTAATCTAGCTCTTGACAGTTAAATAAAATATATTTAATTCGATATCTAAGGATATAAAAAGGACTACAGTATATATTGGTTTTAGTTTTTTATTTATGAAGTTATACTAAAACAAAATCATATAAGAACTTAACTTTTAAAAAAATTGCACATAGAAGCTTTTGTTCAGAGTTAGTTAAAGACAACTTTTTATAATGAAAGATTACAAGATGAAGCTGCGGCAGTAACATTGATCATTGATCCAACATGGATCATTGAATCTGACATCAATCGACAACCTGACATCGATCGACGACCTGATATCGATTATCGACCCAAATATTGAGGGCTGCCCTGATATACTCATATATAGTGCATAACTGGGGACTACAACTGCTAAGAATCACTATAAAAAAAAATGATGATACATCTGTTACAAACTTCTAAGCCTTATGATGCCATTCAACTATAAAAGGCTCTAGAAGTGCAAGGTAACCTGTCATGAAATATAACTAGACACTTTATTATCATAGTGAGAAGTATAGCCATTTACATGATTACTGAATTCGATATATTAAAATCTGGATTTTAAAAATTACAAGAAAGTTGGCAGTTGCAGCAATATGCAGGCTTGAGATACTTACCCAATATAGTAGAGATAGCTACATAGCTTGAGATACAAACCTTTAACAAGTACGCCAAGTAGAGATACAAACTAGGTACATCAAATTAGAAAGCACCTATCTGAAGCATTAATATACCAATTTGGAAGTTAAAATAGTAGATAAAGTAGATAAAGCAAAAGAAATATAAAAGTTAATTGAAGACAGGTAAGGATATACAAAATCTAGATTAATCATATATGTGGAAATGTTGATAGCTCTGGTGGGTTTTAGCTATGAATAAATGGTTTTTATACCTAAAGTCCTAGTCTCAATACTAATATATAGTATATATATATTTATAGCACTGCTATATATCAATTCATTTAAGTATTAATAAAAGTTTGGGGCAAGTGCTATACCTGAAATATTCTTTTAAATATTAAAAAAAAAAAAACTTTATAGATATATAGTAGTTATTATTAAAAAATAATACTTGGAACTTTTACAAATAGCTAGTCTTATTCAACACTTAGAATATACTAAACATAATCAGCAAACTTCAAACTATATTATTTTTTATTTAAAAAAAGATATTTGTACTAATTATACTATTATTGTTAGAGATAGAGAAAGATATTATTATTGTTTTTTAAGTTTTTTTTTTGTATTACAAGTTTTATCAAAATTATTAATTATAGTAATGAAAATGAAAGCAATAATAAAAAAATTTTTGTTCAAAAACTATATCTAGTTAAGATATAGCATAAATTATTTGAAGTAAAATATTATTAACTTATTCTCTAGTTTATATTTATACTTTTGTACTATTTCTTCTTACTTATTGCCTAGATCTTAAATTTAGACTAATCTGAAATTTTTATAATTTTTTTTAATTATATATTTTTTTTTATTTTTTTTTTAATAATATATAAAATTTTTAAACTATTTTAAACTCAATTAACTCTCCCCAATGATCTCTTGTACCAAAATTCTCACAAAAACTAAACTATAAAAACTCTATATATACTATATTTTATACAAACAAAACTCTACCTAGCTGCTGTTAGGTACAAAGTCCATTTACTGAGAGTTCTGTTTACTGAAAAAGAGTTGAAAAAGATTAATAGCAGATGGTCAAGTGAGGCACCTTGGTGGGCTATGGTATTATCAAGCAAAGAAGTAATAGAGCAACTCTGAAGCTTTGTCAAGCACTACAGATATGAAAATAGAAGTAGAAGCTTGATAAAATACAATATTTTATATGGCATAACTCTTACACTCATTCCTTTTAATACATTTTCTTTTACTTCTTTGGCCGCTATCACCTACCTATCTTGGTAATAAAATTTTCTAAAAAAGTAGGCAAAACAGCTTATCCCTATCAAAGGATTGGCATTGTTTATATTTTCAAATTCAGATGACATAGTAGATAGCAACTATGTGTTTAGCCTAAATGAGCATGGAGCTACTATTTTGGGTCAATTTTAAGTTACGGACTAGGTCCGGGTCAGCTAGAAATTTCTGAAGTTGGTTTGCTATGATAAAAGAAAATTTAGTAGTAAGACGAAGCTTTACAATAGAGATATACGAATGTTGCTTTTTAAGTAGTATATAATTTTTTTCTTAAACCTTAATACAGGTTATAATATTACTATCTTGGTTGTTATATTTCTCTTTTTTTATACTTTTTTCATCTTTTTTCATTTATAATTAAATAGCATTTAGATTTTATTTTTTTTGTTTTTTTTTTGTTTTTCTTTTCTTTTTGTTTCTTTTAGTTTTCTTCTTTTCTAAATTTGTTTGGTTTCTTTTGTAAACATGGCAATTGGTTCAATTTTTTGCAAAGAAGTAGGGAATTAACTTTTCTGCCCGGATCTAGGTAGGAGAAGTTGTAAGAAAAGAGGAATAGGCAATCTTGACAAGCTAATGACAGGCTTTTGTTAATCTTGCAGATAAGCTCTAGTGAGTTAGAGCTCTGTAAAGGAGAGAACATGTTGTTGAGACAGATCACATTTAGGTGCCTTTGGTAACTGAGTGAGTCTTTGTTGTGTTAGAGGTAGTAATAACTAGAAGTAATTTTAGTATACAAATACACACACATATATATATATATATAATATCTCTCAAATAATAAAGACAAGATTGCCAAAATTTAAAAAAAAAATAAAAAATAAACTATTTTAAACTATTAGAGTTACAAAGAGTAAAAAAGTTGCTAGATAAAAAAAAAAATAAAAAATAAAAAAATAAAAAAATAAAAAAATAAAATAAAAAATAAAAAATAAAAAATAAAAATAAAAAAAAGTTTTGTAATTTGTAGTAAGCTAGACTTTATGAAATATGTAATTTTACTTTAAAGAAATAGTATAGAAGTATAATAGAACCTGAAAATAAATCAGTTAATATCTGTGTAATAAATATAACCAAATATCAATTCTAAATTAGATAATCAAATAATATCCAAATAGCTACTAGCTGCAAAGCAGCCAGTATGCTATTTAGACATTATCTAAATATCTAATTTGGGATTGATTCTTGGTTATTGCCCACTTCATAGACAATAATATATACTTATCTTATATAAATACTAATTTCAAATAGTGTTATAATATTATGTATAACTAAATAATCCAATCTTACTAGCTTGTAATTTATATAAAAATTGTATTAAAGCTATACAAGATAAAATAAAATCTGTTAATGCAAAGTTAAAAATTTTAGATTTGTTAAAAATTATTTTAGTATTATGTAAAAATAATATTAAACAAATTATACTCTTAAATATTATTGAAGTTTTGTATTGCTTATACAATACTCAAACTTGGAATAGAGTGTTAAATTCACTAGATCTTAATATTTGCTCTAAGCCTAAAATTTTAAATATAAAAGTGTTAGCTAAACTAGCATTGGCCAATTTGGTTTGTTAAGCTTTGTAAAGCAAACAATTTGATTAGAATAAAAAACTAATAAAATTATTTAATATTTAGTATAATTATAGAAAATATAAAGAATTACTTGCAAAAAATAAAACTTAGTTGTACTAAAAAAAATAAATTTTGTAAAAGCTTTTTTATTTTTACTTGTTATAATAAAAACCTGTTTAAATATATATATATATTTTAGTATTAAAGTGATCTCTATAGCTAGGAACTTTTTATTAAATTATTAATTTTAGATTACAGTTATAATGAGAGTATATCAAGCTATACATGCACTTTTGGTATCTAATTTAAATAGTCTGCTTAAAGGTTCTATATTATCTGCTATACTTGTACCCCAACTATGAAAGATATCTATTTAAACCCTCTAGTTATAATTGCTATCTATTACTAATCTTAACCAAGGCATAACTTACTATTTATATACTAGATTTTGTGATACTTGTAGATTTCATACCATCTTAGAACTTACTAACTATTTTTGGCTAATCTATCCATAAAGTAAACTTAACAGAGTAGTCTATGTTCTATACATATTTTTACCTGCATGTTTAGTAATATACTTTCTTAACTAATACCTGTTATGCTGCTACTATTGGGTTTATATCTCAAGCTATCTTTTAGAATACTGTTGTAATCTAGCTTATATCTTAAGCCACAACCTTTTTAATTAGTTTTTTTATTATATACTTCTTGCTTTTGTAAGGTTTATACAACCTTAGTACCCATATTTGAACATTTTTTCTTCTTTAGATTCTTTACTAGTCTCTTCTTTATTTCTAGCCAGCAACTCAAAAGAGTTGGTTTGCCCAGGCTTTATGTACTTTACAGTTTTTCTTCTCTTGGTATATGCTTTTGAAGTATATGTCTTTTTTCTTTAGTTTTGATAACTTGGTAGTTTAGCTAATATGTCCCTTCACTTAAGAATTTAATCATTTAGTTCTCCAGTCTTGGTCTTCAGTTCCAAATTCAGTCTTTCTGTAGCACTATTAAAGATCATACTATCTCTTAACTTGAGACTTGCCAAACAGGTTTTTAGTTATTCTGGTTCCTTGGATTTATTATGTCAAAGCTTCTATTCTAGATAGTATAATCAAGATTACAGATTAGAATTTAACCAATTATTGATAGCCATTAATCATATTATAGAGCTATCTTTCGAAATTGTTGTCCATGGAATTCAAATTCTAGACCTGCTATCTGAGGGTACAATAATTCCACTACTTCACTAAGTTGCTACACCCTATCTGTTTAAATATATTTGAATATTTATATTATATTATAGTATTATATATACAAAAAAAAATTTTTTATCTTTTACCTTAATACAAAAAAAAAGTTTTTTATATTATATCAATATCAACATTTATATATATTTATATATATGTATACACAGTTAAATAAATCTGTATTATTTCAAAATACTCTCTTCTAAATATTTTTTAACTATTTATATTAAATGTAGAAGAGATGTGAAAAGAGTTTCTAATACATATTAGCACTTATATATGTGCATATGTACATAGTACAAAATTTGATATTATAAGAAATTCTAAAATTATATGTAGTACAGTCATCCTCCTCTATAATTACGCTGTTTGTTTTACATAAAAAAGATGTGATTATAAAATTTTAATAGTAATGTAATTATATAGAGTTTTTTAATAAATGTATTGCCAATAATTTTTCAAAAAATGGTGCTTATAAAGAGGGTATGATTATATAGGAGGTGACTGTAGAGGAGGATAACTGTATTTGATTTTCATATATGTTATACAAAAAATATTATATAGGTTCATATG